AAGATTTTGATGTTTATCAAATGGACGTGAAGTGTGCATTTTTAAACGGAGAGCTTGAAGAGACTGTTTATGTGGAACAACCCCAGGTTTTATTAATGAAGAATATCCAAATCATGTTTATATTTTAGATAAGGCAGTTTATGGTTTAAAACAAGCACCAAGAGCATGGTATGCCACTCTAACTTTGTTTTTGAAACAATCTAAATTTAAACAAGGATCTGTTGATCCCACATTATTTCGAAAGAAAGTGGGGAATCATCTAATGCTTGTTCAAATTTATGTTGATGATATTATTTTTGGCTCAACTGACCCTGCTTTGTCTAGATAATTCGAAGATTTGATGAAGAGTAAGTTTGAAATGAGCATGATGGGAAAAATAAATAATTTTCTTGGTTTGAATATTCGTCAAAACAGAGAAGGAATTTTCATCAATCAAGAAATATATACGAAGAATTTGCTCGAAAAATTTGGATTGACGAATAGCACAAAGTTACGAATTCCAATGGCAACGGGCATAAAGTTAACACCATCATTAGATAAACCTGCAGTTGATATAACTTTATATAGGAGCATGATTGGTTCATTACTTTATCTTACACCAAGTAGACCTGACATCATGTTTTCTGTGTGTAATTATGCTAGGTATCAGTCTAATCCACGAGAACCACATCTCATTGCTGTGAAAAATATCTTTCGTTATCTTAAAGGAACAATTTCGTTAGGATTGGGGTATCCTTCGAAAACTGGGTTCTTTGTACAAGCATATTCGGATGCAGACTTGGGTGGTTGTAATCTAGATAGAAAAAGTACAAGTGGTGGATGTCAATTTCTTGATGGCAAATTAGTGAGCTGGCAATCAAAAAAGCAAACATGTGTATCAATCTCAACAGCTGAAGCAGAATATGTGGCTGCTGCTGCTTGCACTTCACAGATAATATGGATTCAAAGTCAATTACGTGATTATGCAATTAATATGAAAAAGATTCCATTATATTGTGATTCTCAAAGTGCAATAAGAATTTGTCATAATCCTGTGCAGCATTTGAAGACTAAACATATAGCTCTTCGTTACCACTTCATCAAGGATCACGTGGAGGATGGAAATATTGAAGTACATTTTGTGAAAACAACTGATCAGTTAGCTGATATTTTCACGAAGGCATTAGATGAAAAATCTCTTGTGCGAATTATAGAAGGACTTGGAATGATCGATGGAAATTCAGTTCCATGCGAAAAAGAAGAATGAAGGGTAACAAAGCATGAATTAGAGGCGATGAATAAAAGATAACGCAAAGTAATTCAGCATTCAGCGGTTACTGTTCATAGTCAACGCTTCGACCCCTTCGAATTCGAACGTTTGTCACTTATTTTTAAGGATCGATTCAGTGGTTACTGTTCATAGTCAACGCTTCGACCCCTTCGAATTCGTATATTAATCACTACTCAGGGGATGATAAAATTTCGTGTTTTCTAACAAATATTATTTCAAATTTTCGAAAAAAAAACAAAAATTCAAAAAGATTTTCTTTTGTTTTGTATTTCAAATTTTCGAAAAATCAAAAATCCAAAAAGATTTTCTTTTGTTTTGTATTTCAAATTTTCGAAAAATCAAAAATCCAAAAAGATTTTTTTTGTATTTTAAATTTTCGAAAACTTCAAAACAACATAAATATTTTCAGTTTTATTTTGTTGCAGAATATCATGAAGATATAAGATGGAATATGTTGGCAGTTCTAGGGTCAGGTAAATTTTTTCGTATTAATTGATCAATATTTTTCGCATTTTGAACTACTTAAGTTGTCCCTAGAAGCATGCTGCTGCATGTTGTCCAAAAAGCCTCCAATGACTCAATGTGTGTGTACGAAAGCCTTAATGAAATTCTTCATACGAAAATTTCTTCCCAATCAGGCTTATATTCACATTAGTCTCTGAGCTACCTGACTCTTCTCCAAATGAGTTAAGAGTTTCCTGTTTGGTCCAACAATAACAGAGGTACTTTTCATGTCTTAAATCCATCTTTTTCACCCAAAAGTTCTTACACAATCACACACAAAGACATATGTCTGAGAGGTCTCTGATCAAACCAATCGAGACTTAGACATATCAAAAATCTGTGTTTATGATCTGACATCATGAGACCGTGATGAAAGTGAAACCCAATTTTCATGATCTTGTTAATGAATTGACGGGGAACTAAGTTCCAGATATTCACGAAACTTTTTGTTTCTGTACCCAAATTCGAAACTCCAAATCATATTCATTTCGAATGAGTGGTCTTGATCAAACATTCGAAACCCACGATGTTTGTTACCCAACAAGATCCAGCACAAAATTTTTTTTCATAAATATGATTTCCGTGTGAGTTTACTTCGAATTCCAAAGTTACTTTAAACATTTTTCAAAACACACTTGTCACTGACTACACTGGTCAAACAAGTAATTTCTGTTACAATTACTCACCTTATGTTAAGGCTGATATGTAACGAAATTTATTAAGCCACCTATGTAGCCTTACAAAAGATGCCCTTCGAAACTTCTCTACAAGTTTTCGATTGTAATTCACGGGAACATACACAAGCTGTTGATCATCTCTCTTGATGATTAACGAAGCAACCTTTGCCCGGGGTTTAACTGCATTCGTGTCAAATTAAATTTTTGACATCACAAAATTCCAAAATTTTTATTTCATTGTTTCTTGTCTAACTTTCTTTGGAACACTGCACTCACGAAATCCTTGAGGTTTTGAGTAATACCAACTCAGGCTGATGATTTCGAACTTCTGGCGTATGACTTTGCTTTTCAACCCAAAAGTGAAAGAGCCTTGCTTCCATACGAAGAGTCATAACGGTTACAAATCAACTTGGGGATAACAATACAGGTTGTCTACATATGACGTATGGTATTCTGTCCGGTTTTCAAGGTGATGTGACAGATACTTTTTGACGCATGGCTACCTTTCCGCAGTAATGGTCCGATTTTTAAGGTGCCACGTCGGATCTCATTAAATGCATCCCGCTTCAAATTCAAAAATCAGGGTTACATATAAAAGGGGATTCAAGGGTTAATTTTCAGTTTACGCGATCAAAACAATCAAACTTTCTAAATTCTCTGTTCATCATCATCCTCAAACCCTAACAATGGCGACTTCTGCTCATGTCGATTCTCATACCACTGAAGATGCTTCTTCATTACCGATCATGAAGATTCAGGCTACAAACTACTACTTGGAGGGTGAAGTTTCTCAGTACCCAGAAGAGATGAAGATGCTAATCGTTGCTTTGAAGAATTCTGTTTTGTCAAAGGCGATGTTTAACTCTTTCTCGGTTCCATTATCCTGGCTTTCACAAGCAGGATCAACTTTAACATACAACAAAGCTTCTGATACGATCACTTTTCATCTTCTGAACGACAAAAAGGTCAGGTTATGCAAGAAAGTTTTCTGTCAAATTCTTGATATCCCGAATACGCCTCCATATGTTGCTGTTACTTTTCCCCAAATTGTTCACATGTTCAATGAGATGGGTTATCAGCTACCATTGTCCAAGATAAGTGATTTTAAAAAGTCTGGTCTTCCACGACTCTGGAATTTCCTGTTTGGGATCTTTCTAAGGTGTTTAACTGGGCGTTCTGCTGGTTTGGATAAAGGAAGGATGGAAGTATATGTCATGGTAGCTGGTATATATTATGATCTTCAAGTCGATTATTCTACTCAACTATGGAAGGAATTTCAAAAGGGAGTAGAACACACGAATGCCACTCACGGTATTTCGTGTGCAAGATACTGGAGTCTGATTCTGCAACATTTTTACAATAAGGAAGGAATTTTGGTGGCCAATGATGAATAAAGAGCAGTTTTCCAACCATACCACTATCCGAAGGATGTCACTGATAATGCTGATATTTTTCCATCAGTTGCTAGAATTCCAGATGCTATGCTTAAAAGAGTTGATCCTTCGAACTCTGTCTTGGTAGCATATTTGCAGACAATCGATTCTACAATTGAAACTGGCAAACTCCTGGATATCGATGAAACAAAATCCAAGAAGTCGAAGAATACTGAAACTGAATCAAAATCTTCGAAATCTCCGAAGAAGAAGCCGGTGGTTGTTGAAGTATCTGGTGCTGAGACCCAAGTGATTGAGCCTATCATTGAAGAAACTCAAGAGAATGTAATCATTCCTTCGAAAACAGGAATGTTTCGAAGAATTAAACTGAAGTCCACTCATAAACGCAAGTCTCCTACACAACAAATGATTCGAAAACTCCAAATTACACATCAAGGTGTGTTAATTAGAGAAGTACCAGCACCTGTTTCTCTGGTGTCGAAGAAAAGGAGGGCTGAGGATATGGCCAAGAGGTTGTCAAAGAAGAAGAAGAAGAAAACTCGAAAGCTGGTGATTTCTACTGAGTCGACTGAAGATGATAATGAACGAATTTCCGAAACTCCTGAACCAACTATTCATGATCAGATTTCGACTCCTGAGCAAACACATATTGTACCACCCGAAGATTCGATTACCAAGACAGTTTCTGAGGCAGTTCGAACTTCAGACATCCCTGCACACGTATCTGATACGAATGCAAATGTCGATATGAGTGACGACAGTTTGAAAAATGCAGCTTCAGGTAATACTACCTCTACTTTTGAACATATTGTTTCTATTCCTCTCACATTAACCACACATTCCCCAACATTCGAACATATTCTTGATCAACCTTTCACTTACATCTTTTCTTCACAATCTACTGATCCGCCAAAACCTACTTCACCTGTCGATGATACAATGATGCTGGAAGATGCACCTGATAACGAAGGTTTTGGAGGAACTTTTGAAGATCTAAAGTTTAATGAAGAAGAAGAAAATTTTCCAGATCATATGCTAATGACCATGAAGCAGTTCAAAATTCTGAATCAGAAATTGAATTCTATAATTCAATCTCAAGCGGATATAGGGGGTGGTTCATCAGTTTCGAGTTTGGAGGTTGATTCATTTTTAAAAATGCTTGAAGCCAGAGTTATTAGCAAATTCTCTGGAATGATTAATGATTCAGAATCTCGAATTTTGGACAAGGTTGACTACACTGATCAGACTAACGAACTTCGTGTTAAATCTCAACGATCTGATTTTATGGGTGAGATCAAGAATCTAAAAAGCATAACAAAAGAACGACATGTTCTTTTTGTTCAAGAAGTTAAGAAGGTACGCGAAGATGTCAACATGCAAATTCGTGAACTCCGCGAAGACATGCAGAAAGAAATTGGCAGTTTTCAAAAAGATTATGCTTCTTTACATCAGAAAGTTGATATCATTTGTGATGCAGTCACACGATTTGTGAAGTTGTATGAAAATTTGAGTCCACAACTTACTCAAATTTCAACATTCGAACAAACAAGCTTTGAGGAGATGCTTAAGATGCTTAAGGAATTGAAGGAGATTTCAGAAAGGCCAGTTTCGTCTCCATTGATAACTCCTGAATTTTTGTCTCAGAAATTTATCCACTTCGAAGCCATCCTCAACAAGCAACTTGCACCACTTTTTCGCATATCAAGTCTTCTTCCCACAACAACTGCCCCTCCTGTTTTCACAGGGGTGCAAGGGGGAGAAAGGAAGTCAAGTGAAGAAGATGCGAAAGTGGTGGGAACGTTATTTTCTTCGAAGATCCCATCAACAAAGCCTGTTATTGTTTCTGCTGAACAGGCGACTTCTACTGTAGTAACAACAATGCCAACTGCAAGACCAATTTTGAAAGGAATTGTAATTGGTAAAACTTTGGAAACTGGTGGGAGTGGTTCGAAGCCAAAAGAGGCAATTGAAAATCCTGCTTCAAAAGATAAAGGAAAATCGATTCTTGTTGAAAAATCGAAGGAAGAAAAGAAGGCTGAAGCTGAAGCTGAGATCGAAAAACTGAGGATCATCCAAAGCATTATGACTCAGCGAGCAAGTGATCCGAAGGGAATGAATAAAGGTGATCCAGCTAAACATTATAACTATGAGACAATTGAGGCCAAGGTTGCTTTCAATCACATGTACACATTCGAAAAGAAACCAAAGCAAAGCTATTTGGTCACAAATACTGATGCAAGTCAGTTGGATTTCCCGATAAACGAAATGATGTTTATCATGCCACAGTTCAAAGCTGAAGGGAATTTCAAAGAAAAAGATGAAGGCACACACATGAAAATTCGTTTTCATGTTGTACTTGGAAAAGCCCCTGAGGAAGTATGGTCACTGGTTAAAATAAAGAAAGTGATCAGCATGAAAAAGGATGTGATTTTCGAAAACACAGTCCAAAATTTTAAATATGTGGTTGCCAGGGCAGATGGAAAAATTTGCGAATTCACTGTTGCAGATTTTCCATTAATGAACTTGTATGATCTTATACAAGTTGCATTACTTTTGAAAGATAAATCCTTTTCATTCCTCCAAAACACAGAACCAGAAGAATTCAAGATTGGAGTTGCTCACATCAAAATCTTCATCGAAAATTACTATGAGTGTTTGGCAATGACTGATGTGGAGTTAGCAACTGCCAAGGGAATGGAAATAAAAGCTCCAATGGCTCCTTCGAAGACTCAGGCTGATTTAAAGAAGTATGCTGATGGTTAAATTTGCCTAAAGCCTTTTGGATTAGTCTTCGCAGGAAAAGACAAAGCTAGAAAAGCAAAAAGGTTTTTATTCCAGGCAAGTGAAGTGGAAAGGTATTCAACGTCTCAATATACGAACTTGATTGTTCGTATGAATCACTGCAAAAAGAACAATGAAGGAGATAAGAAAGAGTTAAAGAAAATTATATCTTGGTACACAGAGATTCGAAGGGTGTTGCTGTATTCCATCACACTTCTCACTAATTGAAGACTTCGACTATTATTACAAAGGGGGAGATTGTAAGGGTCGAATAGTTGTAATTAGTCGAAGTATATGTTTTGTACCCTTCGAACATTTTGTAATCTATTTTACTAGGGCATTGTATTCGAAGCTTAACGCATAGTCCTTAGTATATTTTTTGTACGCTTTCCTCTCCTATAAATAGGAGTGTTTACTAGAGTCATTGGGACAAGCCTTTACAGAATTGTCATTTGTACTCTGTAAAACTTGAGAGCGTAATAGAGCTAAAACAAGATCATATTTACATCTGTGTTCAAATCTCGCAATCCTACATTGATCATTATACTCTGATTAGTTTCAAACTCGATTCATAGCTTCATCAGTACCAGTACCACCGTGAATCTAAGTCCTTTCACTGATCACATGGTCAAAGGTATAGCTTTGCTATCATAAATAGGAGGAATAAAAATAACACGGGAAAATAACCCGGAATAATAACACTGAAAAGCACATAGCACATATAACACATAACATACAATTGTTCTTATATATAAACTCACCGTGAAATAACCGGGGGTTAAAATAGTAATTTGGGCAGCACTTCCTTACTATAATTGACTTTCTTCGTTGAAAACCAGGAGTTTTCTTGATAACCGGGCCTTGCGAGGGTTGGGCTTCAAAACTGAAAAGATAAATTTTTCGGGGTCTTCGGGAACTTTGGGGCGTGTTTTGGGCGTTGGAAATAATCTTGGGGCTTCGGGGGAAGTGGAAGTAGCTCAAATATGAAATTAGGGGTGAAAAGTGACAAAAATTCCAACAAAAACTGGGAGGTCTCGCACCCTTTATATAGGTGCGAGCCTCGGATCCGAAGAAAGAAGAAGAGGGCAGGTGGTTGCGAGGCTCGGTACACGCGGCAGAAGGGCGAGGCTCGGATGCGAGGGTCGGAACAGGTGTGCGCTTCGGATTGGTCCAGCGTCTCGGATGACGCAGTTGCTTCGGACACGGGGATGCACACGCGTCGGATGGTCTTCGGCTGAGTCATCGACATCGGACATGGGGCGCGCCTGACGTGGCTCACATCGAATACGTGTCGCGCGAGGAGCGAGGGTGACGTGGCCGAACTCAGGCCATGCGATTTTTCTCGGATTTCGCAATTATTCTCGATTTTTGTGCCAAAAACTTCTAAAATTCATAACTTTCGCATACGAGCTCCGTTTTTGACGTTCTTTATATGCACGCGTAGGGAAAATTATGCTCTATAACGTTCGTTTAGACTTCATCGGCTAATTTTGAATTTATTTTTAATATTATTATTTTTAACAGACCGGGACAGGAAAATCCGTTAAAAATTCATAACTTCTTCATCCGACGTTTGTTTTCGTCAGTCTTTTTACCGTTGTACTACTAATGACGAGACCTTCCATTCTCGTTTAGGTTGTGTTGGCTAAAAATCACTCGATCTAAAATTCGAGTTTTTAGCTGTCTATTGCTAAGCTGAAACTTAGAAAAATCATAACTTCCTCATATGAAGTCAGTTTTGGGCGTTCTTTTTATCAAAATTCTCGGTTTAACAAATACTACAACTTTCATTTAGATCACCAAGGCTAAAAAGTCGTTTATCAAAAAACTCACTTTTTACGTCATTCGGCGTCTTGCCGGTTTTGTCGCGGACCTTCTATTGGTCATAACTTCTTCGTTATAATTCGGATTTCGATTGGTTTTCGCCTAAATGTTTCTAACGAGATTCTTTACAACTTTCAATAATAAAATTTTACTTATTTCAAATTTTATATTTTCGTTAAATTTCAATATTTGCCTAATGTTTGGAATCTCATAAGACTTCCAAAACATTGTGGGTGATTCTAAACATAGTTTTACTTCATTTCTAGTAAAAAATATCCGTTGAACTCAATACTCATAATTATATAATATTTCATAAAATTATTCACTTTTAAAATTACATAACACGATAATTGACGTGTATGTTACACCCGACCACAACACGACTCAAGACTCCTCTTATGGTCTCCGACGTACAGCAAGTTGTGAGCAACAACAGCAATGGCATGAACGCCGACGCTCCGACGGCGGTTCACCGGTTTCCACAGCTAAAGAGGCGGCGGCTGAAAAGAGAGAGAAGGAGAAGGGCGGCGATTTCCGTTGGTCGATGTCGCTGGCGATTGATGATGGCGTTCCTGCTTCGGCACGACAGCAACGCCGGTGGTTGATACTCGATCTCGACAAGGTGGCTGGAGAAAGAGATGAGGAAGAGCGGCGATTTTGGTGGTCGCTATCATCGGTGGTCAGCAGCCCTCGTGGCCCAAGATGTCTGACAGCCACGCTGTGACGGTACCCGGTGGTTATGGTGGTTTCCGATCTCCCCGATGATGGTGGCGAGAGGGTGGCGTAAGGGGCAGTATGGCGGCTAGAAGAGGGAGGCACAAGGATGGAGGGTGACGGCTACTCATATTTTTTTAAGGTTAGGGTTTGAGAGATGGTTGCGATGGGTTATATACCCGACTCCTAAACTCCATCCCATAATAACAACAATGACCCTCCCTTCTCTATTTCCTTTCAAAAATGGCCCTAATATTTACCCTTTCAACCCCTCCTGCAAAAAACCCTTACAAATCAGGTCCAAAACTTACCAATCAGTCCCTCCTCAATAAAATCTTCTCATATAAGGTCCATAATTTACTCTTTAGTCCCCGCTTCCACAAATCCTTACATATTAAGTCCAAATAATACCAAACACCCCTTGACTTATGAAAATATTTACAAATTAAGTCCCACAAATACACTTTAACCCCTGGAGATTCAAAATCTTGTCATTTGGTTTCCCGAAACCAACTCCCAGCTAATTGTTATTTGGTTTTGGGTTATAATAATATAAAATAATACCAATTATTATTTCTCGGGATCTCGGGTTTATTATTTTAATTACCCTATTTTAAATGGGATGTTACAACTCTCCCCCACTTAATTTTGATTTCGTCCTGGAAATCGTTTCTTGTCATCCCTTACACACTAGTCAACTTGAACAACACGACTACAACTTACGAGCATAGCCCCAACCTTTCCAAGGCAACCGTAACCAACCCTCGCAGGGTTCTAAAACCTGAAAATAAACGAATCCATTGCAATATAATCACATTTACTCAATCCGAATCTGTAGTCTCGAGATGGTCCATCTCCTTCACAGACCGCCCACTCTGAATCATTGTCAATTTCTTTGCATTTAACTCCTAACTGGCTACTCAACTTCTGATAACCTGAGGTTCTCACCAGAAAGCATAACCACAAATCACACACTGCTACCTATAACTCTTTTCTCGACAAGAGATTAGGTACTCCTTCAAGAGAAACCCATTTTGATAACCGATTCCCATGGATATAATGAACAACGGGATGTAACCGGGAGATAAACCCTTATAGGTTTGTCAATACAGTGATTCATTTATCCTTAGGACCAACATACATATAATGACCGGCTCATAAGCACAAAACACTCATACCTGGACCAATCAGCCTCGGGTTGGAATACCAGGCATGCCCACTACGGGTCCAGTCATCCTCAGGATGGAATACCCTCATATCATGCACATGTTTGGCCCAATCAACCCTCGGGTTGGCATACCAAACACGTTAGGTCCAATCAATCATAGGGTCCGGTCATCCTCGGGATGGAATACCCTATATGTAACGTCGTGAAAATTCAAACCAATTTTTCATTTTCAATTCATAAAAACATATATCATATTGTTCAACTCCAAATATTCATTTAACAAAGTTTTCAAATCATCACATAAAATCCAGGATCCACAGTAGCTCTTCCCAAAACATAGTGTCTGTGTACAATCATGTTGGTGCCTTCCCGCGATCCTGATAAGAACCTGAAACACATAACATATAACACGGTAAGCACGAAGCTTAGTGAGTTCCCCAAAAATACTACATACAGCACATAAGCCACTCGAGGCTATAGCTCTACGAGACCTTCCGGTCAATGTATCTCAGGGGCCTTCCGATCCCACAATCTGAGTAGACCTTCCGGTCCTACTCTGTCGACCTTCCGGTCCATACACTGCTGACCTTCCGGTCCATACACTGTTGACCTTCCAGTCCATACCATGCTACTCATAACATACATAACATATACATATCACATAACAACATATATAACATACTCGTCATAGTACATAAGACCTTCCGGTCACACATAATTACCACTCTAGGTAAGGTATAGCGAGAAGACTCACCTCGTATGATGAACAACCTCTAGTAATGATGCCGCTATAATTCGTTCTCTAACTCTGTGCAAAAGCCCACAATTACCCCAATTAGGTACTAAGTCCAACTCTCACTCTTTAGGTCTAATAATAGCCCACTGACCAGCCTAATAATGTCCTAAACCCATTGGACCCACCAAGGCCCAATTCTCAATCTAACTGGCGGGCCCAACACTAGATAAACTTCCCAAGTCCACTAGCGTCCCACTTTGCTAAACTGGGGCCACTCCCTCCAATGGGCCTCACCCGAAGCTCAAATACATCATTGGCCCATAACTTCAGACTATTGATGGCCCAACTGGCCAAGGCATGGCCCAAAGCATGGCCCAAAACACAAAGTCCAATACAGACAAGTTACGCGGGGCGTACTCCTACGTACGCTAAGCGTACCGACTCGATGGCGAGTACGTTGGGCGTACCTGCACATACGCTCAGCGTAACCTTCCTGTAAAGCCCTTTTTCCATTAAGTTTGTTAATACTTCATTCCAGAGGCCACAAATTCAGATCCAGGTCCTTATTATCCTCTTAATCCTTAAAGTTATAATCTTTGTGACTTGCAATCCACCAAATAAGCTCAAACTCAAAAGGCATCAACATATTTCCATAACAAGGGCTAGATATCATGCATGAACTCATTAGGACCATCAAGATTGAAACTTTACTGCTTATGGGACCCTTTTAGCTCTGAGGGTGGCAACCCTAAGCTCAAAAAAAAGATTCCAACATAAAGGTCCAAACTTGGGACCAAAACAACTCCAAAACTTCACTATACAAGATCTATGCATTCTTAAGTAACCGTTATGAACTTTATACCTCAGAAGAGCTCCAAATGATGAGGACATTCCAGATCTATGAGCTCCAAACTCCCAAGTTCTTCCTTGCCAACTTCTTCTTCCAAGCTTACACCACCAAATGAGCTTCATATGGAGAAAATCACTCAAGAATGAAGGGATGGGGCGTTCTAGGGTTTTCTGAAGGTAAGGGAACAGATAAGGAGGCAAGGGTTAGAACCAATATGTTCTTTATATAGTGACACACCCAAAATTTAGGGTTTCTGGACGCTTGGCGTACGTCATGGAGCACCTGCAACCATTTCCCTTATACGCTGGGCATAACCCAGCCTTATGCTGGGCATACCCATGCGCTTCCATTTCACATGCATGGCCTTCCATGCCAACTTTTCTCCTTAAGGGACCGTTTATGCCAAAAACTTCCAAGTGTCATATCTTCCTCACCCGATGTCCGTTTTCGACGAACTTTATATCCATGAAAAGGTGGCGAGAAGTTCTACACTTGAATCAACTTTATTTCTCCTAGAGCCCACTCGAACTCAGATCCAAAATTCATGAAAAGTCCAAACCAACACTTGCCGATACCCTTGGGACCTAAAGCACAAACTGAACCCCTTTCTCACACAATCCACCCTATCCATATCCAAGAATACCTAAACATATCTTTTTTTAAAATCTCGAAACCTTCTCATATTCATATTACGGCCCACGAGTCTTGAATCGCAAACAATCTGAAACAGGATGTTACAATTCTCCCCCACTTAATTTAGATTTCGCCCTCGAAATCGTTCCTTTTCTTCGCATAGATCGAAACCAATAGTCCGGGAAGCACAACCGGAAAATCTCTTAACATCCAACAATCCTTCTCCCAGGACATCCGAAACCAAGTAGAAATTCCCAAGCCGGAGAAGGACGGACCCCTTTTTCCCGTGGAGGTATCTGCTCTAACTCTCCAAAACTGGAAGACTATAGTGGTCTGTCTCCCCACCAAACCGCCCATGCAGAATATCACCTTGATAATCGATCATCGATTAACAGACTCGGATAAAACACTTCCAACTCTAAGTACCAGGTCAAATCATGACCCAACGGTTTCACCTCCAAAGGATACCCCTTGCACACCCAATATGATAACTTTACAACCCTCCTGCTCGCGATAGCTACCTCAGCTCATCGTGACGCACAAGTCACGTAGTTCGCTTTACCCCAAGCGAATACTACAATTTATCTGATATCGTCTTACCTTCGACCTCTGCCGTCTACCATCCACTGATTCCATGCGTTTCGCGACCGAGCTAACTCACTCTGGTTTAATACATCTGATGGGGAACAATACTTCTCAAAATGAACCCATCTACGAATCTGATACCTCATCTTGCCTACTAAACACACGAATGAATCCAGACTCAAGCTCTAGAGTCGGATTCAACAACAAAATTGGGTCCACTAAATTCCAATCTGATACTCAACTCATGACCCAAGATTCGCAATCCACGCGTACACCACTTCTTCAATTCCCTTCGGTTGCGATAACCACGACTCAACTTAGAATATAGCGATTTCTGACAAATATAGAGACCTCGGCCTCGCCCCTGGTCCAACCACCAGGCTCCCAAACTCAATCATTAGGGCTACCCAAGCCTAAAACCCTTATGCGTCATGCTCTGACTAGTGAGTACTACGGCTCCACGTAGCTCACTGAACTACGGCTCTCACTGAATAGTGCTCCCCGTAGCATCACTGCCCTCTCACTGAATAGTGAATACTACGGCTTCCCGTAGCATCACCGCAACCTCTCACTGAATAGTGAGTACTACGGATCCCCGTAGCATCACCGCCACCTCTCACTGAATAGTGAGTACTACGGCTTCCCGTAGCATCACCACAACCTCTCACTGAATAGTGAGTACTACGGCTCCCTGTAGCATCACCGCAACCTCTCACTGAATAGTGAGTACTACGGCTCCCCGTAGCATCACCGCAACCTCTCACTGAATAGTGAGTACTACGGCTTCCCGTAGCATCACTGTAACCTCTCACTGAATAGTGAGTACTACGGCTTCCCGTAACATCACCGCAACCTCTCACTGAATAGTGAGTACTACGGCTTCCCGTAGCATCACCGCAACCTCTCACTGAATAGTGAGTACTACGGATCCCCATAGCATCACCGCCACCTCTCACTGAATAGTGAGTACTACGGATCCCCGTAGCATCACCGCAACCTCTCACTGAATAGTGAGTACTACGGCTCCCCGTAGCATCA